CCCAAGTAGCTGGGACCACAGGCGCCTGCCACAACGCCTGGCTATTTTTTGATTTCAGCTGTCATTGTTGTTTGGTGGCCCAGGCTGGATTCGAACCCACCACCTTAGGTGTATCTGGCTGGCGCCTTAGCTACTTGAGCCACAGGCGCCGAGCCGTGAGCCCAGCAAGTTTGAAGTTGGAGTGAACTGTTGGGATTCCTCTGGATTCTAGTTTGGTGACAGAGCAAGGCCCTGTCTCAAAAATAAAAACAAAACATGCTCTGAGTGGAGGGAGCAAGATAACATGAGAGCTTCCTTTCATATTAATAGGTGCTTACTATATAACAAAAGAATGTTTTTATGCTACAAGAAGTGTTCTATTTTACAATCATTTATTAATCACTTTTTAGGCGGCAAGCTTCATATTATTATCATGGAGAAGATCTATCTCCCTTTTTCTCCTCTTTTTTGATAGCTGTGGCAGAAACGTTCAGGTATATCATTGAAAGTTATGTTGATACTAATTAAAATAGAGTTTTTATATTGTGAAACCTAGGGCTTTAACACTTATTTAAGTGTAAAAATGTAAATTAGTATTTTATTATTTCCAGAAATTAGGATGAAGATGACTGCTCTTCTAGTTGGGAATAGAGGAGAATAAATCCCTTTCATGGTGCAGAATTGTTGATCAAGTCGTCTTTCTTTCTTTGTTTTTTAAAATTATTTTATTTTTAGAGTCTCAAGTTGTCACCCTCGGCAGAGTGCCATGGCATCACAGCTCACAGCAACCTCAAACTCTTTGGCTTAAGGATTCTCTTGCCTCAGCCTCCAAGTAGCTGGGACTACAGTCACCTGCCACAATGCCTGGCAATTTTTTTGTTGTTGCAGTTGTCACTGTTGTTTTAGCAGGTCCAGGCCAGGTTCGAACCCACAAGCCCTGGTGTATATGGCCGGCACCCTACCCACTGAGCTAGGGGTACCTCCTCATCTTTCATTTTTCAGAGCAACTCTTTGCTAGCTTGTCTAGCAAAATACTGTTCTATTTTCTGAAAAGAGTAGAAAATTTTACTCTGTAGTCTTTATCTGCAAATTTAATATAATTCTCTTCATTGCCTATCTTTGAAGTACTTAATATTTAAAACTATTCCTTTAAGAAGACCCTCTTCTAATTCCAGGAAATGAAATATATCTTTAGCTTATACCTTTGATATATCATAGGAAACAGTGGCTTTACTTGTTAAGAGTCTCATAAATCTCAAGAACTACTTATGGCTCGGCTCCTGTGGCTCAAGTGGCTAAGGCGCCAGCCACATTCACCTGAGCTGGCGGGTTCAAATCCTGCCCAAGCCTGCCAAACAACAATGATGGCTGTAAACAAAAAATAGCCGGGCGTTGTGGCAGATGCCTGTAATCCCAGCTACTTGGGGGGCAGGAGAATAGCTTGAGCCCAGGAGTTGGAGGTTGCTGTGAGCTGTGATGCCATAGCACTCTACCCAGAGCAACAGCTTGAGGCGCTGTCTCAAATAATAATAATAATAATAATAAATAAATAAATAAAATTAAAAAAAAGAACTACGTACAATTATTTTATTATATCATTCTCACCATTATATTATCTCACTATAAGGCCAGTGACAGCAAACAAGCTTACTTGAGTATAATCAGATTTAATTTCACTGGAATGAACTGTCTAGTATTCTTGTATGCTTGAGTAGTGGCTGAGATTTCACATTGTATAGAACCAGCAAAGTATCTCAAGGACATTAACATTTAAAGTTTTACATTAATGAACATGAAAAGTTTTTAACCCCTTCAACGCTTCAACACATTGCTACCCCCGCTTACCTTTAATTACCCTCTCCACTCACCCTGTGACACAGGAGTGACAGGGAGTCCTGAGGACAGGTGCACTAGCAGATCTGCACCTCATCCTCTCTAAGAAAGTTCAGTTGACATCCGCCCCCTATTTTCTGTCCCCCCATCCTCACCTGTTTTCAAGTGCATTTGTTACTCAGGTGTCTTTTGTCTTTTTATGGCATACTTGTTGTGGAGTTTGCTTTTTTCTGTATGTTGTTACAAAGGTAATATTTTTCTTTTACTTACAGTCAAACTACAACTTCAAGCAGAAGAGAGAGGAGTTGTGTCTATCAAAGGAGTGTGTGCGAACCGTTACCTTGCTATGAAGGAAGACGGAAGATTGCTGGCTTCTGTAAGTAATGCTTTCTGTTTTTCTGAATGAAGGCCCCTGTAATAGTCCAGGCGAGTGACTGTCAGACCTGGCAATGACAGGACAAATAGGATGGAGTCACGCACTAGCACTTATGATTGATGTGATTTAGGAGTGATGTAGAGAGAAAAGTCAAAGATTGCTTTTAGGTTTCTGGTTTGGATGAGAAGGTAGAAAAGGGAAAGATTTGGGAAAAGGAGATTAGCTCCAATTTAGACCTATGTAGTTTGAGATGCCTATGGGAAATTCAAGTGCAGATGTTCACTAAGGAGCTAGAATAATACATCTGGTACTTAGAGGAGAGATCTGTGTTGATACATAGATTTGGTTATCATCAGCATATATGTAGTATTTAAATCGGGGGAATGGACAAGGTTTCCTAGGTAAAAATACAGCTATAAAGATGACCGTTTGGGACTTTTCACTTCTTCCACTCTGTCCTTATCTTTTTTCCCCTACCAATCTCTTTTTTTTTTTTTTGAGACGGAGCCTCAAGCTATCCCCCTGGGTAGAGTGCCATGGCATCATGCTCACAGCAACCTCCAACTCCTGGGCTCAAGCGAGTCTCCTGCCTCCGCCTCCCAAGTAGCTGGGACCACAGGTGCCCGCCACAACACCCGGCCATTTTTTGGTTGCAGCCATCATTGTTGTTTGGCGGGCCCGGGCTGGGGATTCGAACCCGCCACCTTAGGTGTATGTGGCTGGCGCCTTAGCCACTTGAGCCACAGGCGCCGAGCCCCAATCTCTTGTTAACACAAGAGGTGATGTAATACTTTGGTAATCTTCTAAAGAAGCACTTTAAATATTTCCTAGGACAATATATCAATAAGTAAATTTTTCTTTTTTTCTTTTCTTTTCTTTTTTTTTGGGGGGGGGCAGAGCCTCAAGCTATCCCCCTGGGTAGAGTGCTATGGCATCACAGCTCACAGCAACTTCCAACTCCTGGGCTCAAGCGAGTCTCCTGCCTCAGCCTCCCAAGTAGCTGGGACCACAGGCGCCCGCCACAATACCTGGCAATTTTTTGGTTGCAGCAGTCATTGTTATTTGGTGGGCCCGGACTGGATTCGAACCCACCACCTTAGGTGTATGTGGTTGGTGCCTTAGCCACTTGAGCCACAGGTGCCAAGCCCGTAAATTTTTGTTTTTTGAGACAAAGCCTTGCTCTGTAGCCCAGGCTAGAGTGCTATGGCATCAGCCTAGCTCACAGTAACCTCCAGCTCCTTGGTTCAAGGGATCTTCCTGCCTCAGCCTTCTGAGTAACTAGCACTTGCCACAATGCCTGCCTAATGTTTCCATTTTTAGTAGAGATAAGGGTTTGCTCTTGGTCAGGCTGTCCTTGAACTCTTGACCTCAAGCGATCCTTCCACCTCAGCCTCTCAGTGTTAGGATTATGGGCATGAGCCATCACGCCTGGCCAAATCAATAAGTAATCTTGGATGACCTTGATGTTGTGGTAGTGAGAGGAAGAAGAGTTTCCAGTGCCCCTACCTTTTCCACCTTCCAGTGCCCCTACCTTTTCCACCTTAGGATAGAACACATCACTGTGGGTTTGTCCACTGTCAGACAGTGAGAGTAGTAGAGTAAAGAAAGGAGATGCATACATTTTCTCCTGTTATAACTATGGATAACACAAGTCAAAGGGTTTCTAAGCACCAGCCTTTTCTATGTCTATCTTATTCTGGCTCAGTGTGTACCTTGAGATTAGTTACTACCTTGTGGTCTTATACTTAAGATCATAAGTTCCAGTAACCCAGTAATCAAGGACAGAGTGGAAGAAGTAGAAGTCCCAAGTAGTCAGTCTTTTAGAGCTTTATTTTTTACTTGGGAAACGTCATCCATTCCCCTGATTTAAGTACTACCTATATTCCAGTGATACCCCCCAATTTTTTTTTTTTTGCAGTTTTTGGCCAGGGCTGGGTTTGAACCCACCATCTCTGGCATATGGGGCCGGCACTCTACTCCTTTGAGCCACAGGTGCCTCCCAATACCCCCCAATATTTTTTTTCTTTTTTGAGATAGTCTCACTCTGGCATCATAGCTCACAGCAACCTCAAACTGTTGGGCTCAAGTGATCCTCTTTCCTCAGCCTCCAGAGTAGTTGGGAGTACAGGCATGCACCACTATGCCACTATGCCTGGCTAGTTTTTCTATTTTTAGTAGAGATGGGGTCTTGCTCTTGCTCAGACTCCTTTCGAACTCCTGATCTCAAGCAATCCACCTGCCTTGGCCACCCAGAGTGTTAGGCTTATAGGCATGAGCCACTGAACCTGGCCATGATACTCAAATCTCTTTCTATACACCAACACAATCTCTCCTCTAAGCACCAGATTTATCATTCCAGCTTAGTGAACATCTTCACCTGAATTTCCCAGAGGTATCTACTGAATAGGTCTAAATTTGAACTTAGTACCTTATTTCCAAATCTCTTTGTTTCCCTCCTTCCCATTTCTCATCTACCTTTTCATCCAAACCATATAATGTGGACTATAGGTCACTGGAGGGGCTATTTATCTCAAGAGGATAGGCTGAAATATTGGTACATATATAGTGATAAAAATCCCCATAGTTGTTAAAAGTGATGAAAACAAAAGTTACTCTTCCTTAAAGTGTCCCTCTGAAACTAGTAGGAGATAAAAGAGGAGACAAATTAAAAGATAATAGACCTGAAAACTGAACTGTCATCTCATTCTTACATCATTCAGAGGCATTAAGCTTCCTCATCTGTTCATTCTTTAATACCATCAGAAGCATAAAATGCTCTCAAATAAATATTTTCTAGTTTCTCCCTAGCTAAGTTGCAACTTTCACAGGATTAAGATCATAGCATATAGTCTTAAATATGTTTCTGACTCTGTGGCTGCATATTAACTTTCCTATTTTTTTCTTTCACTTTTTATTAACTCTTCTTGATACAACAGATTTCCATCAAGTTGATGCAGTAAGAAATTAACTTAGGAATGCTTTGAAATTTATCAAACACTCTGTAGTTACAAAGCCATGGCTGTTAAACATAAATAGAAAACTCAGGACTTATTAGTTTCCTTTGAGAAATGGTGCCAGCCAAGATGCAGTTGTTGTAACTTTCTATGTATATTCCAACTCCCGTCATAGGGCTTAATTCCTGCCAAGTTTGTGAGTTAATCCTAATCCTACCATCTAATTTGTGTAGTTTGCTGCCATGGCTCTTCAGCTGAAATCCTATCTCTTTGAAAGTGGTCTCAGTGGGCAGCTCAGTTTTCAGATGAAAAAGTAAGTGTCTCCACCTCAAAACCAAAGAGCTAGTGATTCAGTAAGTGGCACATTCTCCCTCCAAGTCAGATCCATAGATGTTGCTGTCAACAAAACAATTTTTGGTGTGAGTCCAGCGTTCTGATCAGTAGCCTTCAATTGGGGATGCAGATGTGCCTCATAACCTGGAGAAACTGGGATTTCTGAACTTGTACTTGACAAAGGCATAATCCTTTCCCTTCCTCCATCTGACCCTTTTTCAGACTGCTGTGTTAAGGCGTGTCTCAGGGTACTTCTGCATTTTACCCATGTGTGATTCCTGTAATGATTTGTAAAACATTCTAATTTCTTCCCAGAAAGAAGAGTACTCTGGATTCATAAAACATTTGGTTTCTAAGAGTTATGTTAGTGTAATTAATACAGTTAGAATGTGATAATAGACTAGTTTATATACCACCCCTCCAACATCTTCCTATATGAATAATATGAATTCATTTAGGTTATTTATTTTTCACTGTTTGAAAACATTTATTTCTTAAGGTTCTTTTTTCTCCTTTTGAGGTTAGGAACAATGAAAGTTTAAAGAGTAACTATATTTAACTTCCAAAGCCTATATTTGGAGGCTGCACTTGAGTAGTTCTTCAAAGTATAACAGACTTATTACTCCAGTCCATAGCAGTATAAATTTTGTTGCTATAAGCAGCAAAAGCCCAGAACAAGTATTAGGATTTATGATTTAAATATTTACAAATTATAGATTTAAAAAATTGCATATAGTAATGTTAATTGTAGTTTGAAGTTTAAATCACCAAACAACCTCAATGTTAGCAAGCATTGGTATGAAAAACTCGACTGTTCTTAGAAAGTTGCACATGGTTTTTTATATAATGCTGTAGTATAGACACATGATACCCTGGACAAAACATCTCAGTGAGTTACAGAATGTAACTCGTGTTGATCCACAATAGTGAAATGTAGAAAATTTATTTATATTCTCTGAGGATATTCTTTTAAGTGCTGTAAAAGTAAAATACATTTTACCTATAGAATAACTTTGTTAGTTGAGGATATTTAACAACAGAATGAAATCTACAATGTAGTAGATTAGGGAAAATAGATTTTTGAAGGCTTAATTATCCAGATTGACCATCTATACTGATGAAATTTTTCAGAAAAATTCAGTAATTGAAGAGATATGTATATCATTTTTAGGAGATAAAATACTAGGCTAGATTCAAAGTTTACTGCTTAATAAGAGTTACTGCTTCTTTTAGAACCCATTCTTTATTTTTTTACATAACCTGTTTGCTTTTAACTTTTCACAATTTGTATATTTCATTTTGTTCTGAAATAGTCAACATTGATACTTACATCATGTCTGTTTTTAATTCTCAGAAGTGTGGTGTAAGCAAAAGCATTTTCAGTTTCCTATTAAGCAAACTTGCTGTTAAGCCAAAACTGCAAAATCAAAGTACTGTATGAATAAACAACCCAATAAACAGAGCATGGGGAAGTGGTCATAAGGTTCAAACCTAAAATTAGTAGTGGACTAAAATTGTGAGGCTGTTGCATAAGGAGAGGAAAGTGGGGGTGGGATGAGGCTGGCGGGACATGGGGAGTGGGAGGAGAACTTATTCTAGCTATTTCTTTCCTTATGATGGCAAAGGCTATTAGAGATTGGGAGGGATGTAAAAGATCACCTGGTCCAATCTTATTTTGCAGATGAGGAAAATGATACCCAGAAAAGTTAAAGG